AGCACTCCTGCTTTGAGTGGGAGGCTGGACTGCAGATCTCCAGAGGTCTCCTCTAACCAGCATTTCTGTGACTCTGTGAATCTAATTAGCTTCATCCTACATGGAAATATCAAAGTTATTTTAGGAAATATCTATCTTTGTGCAGTGGAAGCAAAGAAGATAAGTGGTTTTTATCCTTTATTACTAGAATTGAGTAAGTATTCTACCAAAGGCAAACCCTTGAATAGCCCTGATTTCTGGTTCTCTCAAAGCAAAACTAAAGACAGATATTAGATTAGATTAGATATGTTATCCATTTTTCAAATTATTTTTTCTATTATATCCATTGCTTATGCATCTTACATAATAATTTATTTGACAACACCATCCTGGTATCACTTCTAAATAATAATACTAAACCAAAAAATTGTCAAGCATTAACTCTACAAACATATTGCAAACTGCAGCTTAAGTATGTCAGTGTCTTATGAGGATACTTGAGGCTGAAATATCTTCCCTACCTACAGACTTTTCAAACTAATACATATATGCTCTACAGAGTTAACAGCTGCTGCTATTCCACTAATGGGAAGTATTTTCTCTCTCTTATATTCCAAATAAATCATTATTCACATCTTTCTGTCTTATGTTCAAGGTCCAAATAGTCCCATCTCTGTAATAGAAACCAGTAGAACTTAATGAGCTCTCTCAAAACTCAGAGTGACTTGTGTGTACTCTCCTCTAGCTATTAATGCTAAAAGCACTCACATAAAGAAGAACTGTAGTGTAGTAACAACATCAGGTTCTCATTTTATATTTTTGTGTTTACTACTTATTACTATTTCATGTATATGAACCGATATAAAAAGAGTGTGCAGGCATACTTACAAGGATGCACAATGCAATGAATTCTGCATCATTCTGCTAATGGGCTTTTGAATCCTATTATTTTGGTGGAGGAGAACTGTTGCATTTGAGTGTCATTTGGTCCTCATGCATATATGAAAAGGTATGAATGACACGTGCCAGGAATTAGGCCGTCTCCTTTTCTGCTTGGGCAGGGAGCAGTGCAGCGTTTCAGCAGGACACGTCTGTCTAAATCTGTGCTCTGCTCTGTATTTATGTTGGAAAAGGAAAATCAAAGCATGTGCTTGGAGTTAAAAACAGAGACTGTGTAATTAGGGACCTCCTCTCGTTCCAAGACACATGTGCATGTACATGTACTTACATACATGAGATATTCCTGTCCTCATCACTGCCACATCCTGGGGCAGGAGACAGCTCTGAATCGAGCTGTTCCTTGCCATGGCCATCAGAGGTCAGGGCTGCCTTTGAAGGGAAGTGGCTTAACCTTATCTGTGACTAATATGCTGTCTGCAGCAAGGAGAAACCCAAGACCATGTGGGTGATAGCGGCCCTGTTGAGTGAGAACAAGGCCCTGCCCAGCCTGGTGTCCTGTCTCAGACTGCAGGGCTGGAAGTGTAAGGAAAGAGCAAAAACAGTACTGGACAGGACTCCTTTTTTTGATGTCTTTCCAGATTTTGGCGTTCAATGTAGAGGCACTTCCTGAGCTCCAGGCTGTATCTAAATTGCAGTATGTAGTGGCTGTTAGATTCCCATGAATTTATCTATTTCTTGAATGCACTTATTCCTTTGGACTCTGCATCGGTGAACATCCAATTCGACTACCAACTGTGTAAAAAGTGTTTCCTTTTTATTATAAAAAGAGCAATTACTCCATTTGCTTTCTCCATCCCACTCCATGCTAAATACCTGAATCACATCCAAGTTCAGCTATTGTTTGTCGAGCAAACGAGTCCTTGTGTATGAAGTCTCCTCTACTAGAGAAGCCATTTGGTTTGTTGCTTCTCCTCACTCTAATGTACCTTTTTGAGATTGCACAAACAGAATTGCAGGCAATGCTCAAGACATGGGCACACTGGGGAATGACAAAATTGCAGAATAATGTTTTCCATTTTGTTGCCTCTTCCTTTCCCATTTGTCCTTAGCAGTATGTGAGTTATCAAGTTGCTCTGTTGTTAGAAGGGTCTACAGGGAGAGCCTCGCAGACTCCTTCTGGAGGAAGGATGTGGATAACAGGACATGATTTATCTGTTTAATTTATGTTGGACTGTTTGATTTTGCAAAATTAACTTCCTCCCTGAAGAAAGATGTCAGATGAAATTTTCAGTTGAAAGGTGCAAGGGGAGAGTGAGAGATTAGTGTTCAGAGCAGTGCAAAGTTGTGTGCTTTGATCCTTCTGCACACTTACTGCTCTTCTCCACTGTGTGTCTTGCCTATAGGACACAGTCTGGGGGCAGACTGGGGGACTTATCCAAAAACTGCTAACCAGATTGTTTCCCTTGGATCAGACCCTATCGAAACAGTTATGTCCTTGGCTTTTCACATGCAAAAGAAGCACTTTATTAAAAGAAACAAGATACTTCCCAGAGTCTGACAGCTTGCATTTTAACTATCACCCCTAACAAGGGACCTTAAAACTGACCCCAAGACTTAATTTAACCATTACAATTCCATTAGTCTAATTTGTCATGAAACGTCTTTAACTAATTACCTGCATTTGTAAGTTAGTCCACATGTCATGAGATAAGAAGTCAAGCATAGTCATAGGTCATTGCTCTGGGCTGCCATCACATAACACAGACCTTAGATGAAAGGGAATTCAGAGTTGATAGGAGGAATCCAAATGACAGCTACTCAGCCAGTACAAGGCAGACGTGGCTCTAATGTAAAAATTGGACCATTGTCTTAGAAGTGGTGTTTTGGAAAAGATGGGGCATGCCCTCATTAGCGGAATAAGGTCTAGGAAGACTGAGCATTCCTTGTAAGCATTTGTCTTGAAGGTGGTAATTTGATAAATACAGGTCCCCACTAAAACTATTTGCTAAATTTGGCAGACAACAGTATTAAATATTTATGACTGAATTTAGAGCTGTCCCTTTTCAAAGAGACCTGATTATATCCTGAATGGCACTTTAAAAAGCTCATTTGGGAACTTTTGTTGGTTTCCTCAAACAACAAATGTTGAAACAGAGGAAAAGACCAATTAGGAGTCTGATTAAAGGTTGCTCAAGCCTTTCACTGAATAGTTTGGATTTGGCTCCCTATTACTTGTTGGAAATCTGCCCATGAATTTATAGTGGGAGCTACAACATGCTGTGTGCCACAAACACCTCTCTCTTAGATTTAGGCAACTGTAAACTTCCCCTCATTTCTCTTGTTCCAGTGCCTGTGACATTCCCCCTGAGACCAGACAAGGAGAAGGATATGGTACGTGATTAATGCAGGATGAAGCATTCAAAAAATTTTCTCATTCTTGTTCCTGTTTCCTTCCTCACTGAGCGGAGGTGCAGAGGGAGGCTGCTGAGTGGTTCCCCCATCAATAGAGTGTCACCATCACACTTTTGGCTGCTGGTGCTGGGTGTGAGGGGTAATTAAATCCCTGCCTCCACCCCAGCTCCCCATCCCCTTGCTGTTCCTTACAGACAGCAAACACCATTGAATCCTTCACTTCCATCACTCATTGGATCAATACAAAGGGCCGGCAACGACACAGTTATACTGGTCAGGCCAGCCCTACCTTTGTACTCCCTAAGTACAGGCTCTGTCCAAGCCATAAATCACAGCTACTCTAAATTATAGAGGCTGCCAGCACATCAGAGGCCTGGAGTGGGAGCTCCCTGTGATCACAGCAGGGAGGGGAGGATAAGGAAGGCCCTGACCAAGCTGTCTATTCTGTACTCGGGGGCTTTATTCAGACAGCAAGGAAGAGTGCCTGGGACCCTCTGTGCTCCTCTTGCCTGCCGCAGTGGCTCAGCAGTGTTCTGGGGTTACCTGCTGTCCTCAGGAAAAATCGAAATCCTCCTTCTAAAGGCCATAAGGCATTCACTGGGATTAGGAAGAAACTCCCTTTGCTGGCATATTACTGCAGACCTTATACCTGCACATACTCTTTTTTGCATCCCTGTGGGGAGAGAGGACTGACTCATTGATTTGCATCTTCCTCTTACCATCAGCCAGCACTGAGAGAGCTGAGTCCTCTGTGAGGGGGAGGAAGGGCAGCGCCCCGCTGTCCCCAGCTCCTGCCACACAGCCCTGTGCGGTCACACTGCTCAGTGGTGTGCACACCGTGGCACTTCTTTCTTTCCATGTGGAAGTTCACCTGTTATTTTCTACCAATATTCCTCCAAATCTTTCAAGATAAATGAATCTTCAGATCTCCAAATCTTTAGCCTGTCTGAAAACAGCATAAAATATCTACCAGTCTGCAATGAAAAATCACAGACAATCCATCCTTTCGATCTCCTGCTTTTATCCTAAGCTGATAAGGGAGGCCCTCCTGTGCTTGTCAGCTTTGCATTCTTGGTGTGTGCAGCATAGCTGAGGATTGCAGATTAAAGGTGAAGAGTTGAACAGGGAAAAAATGCAGGAGCGAAGCAGCTGTTTAATGAGATAGAGGGGCTTTCCTCTTGAAAACTGCTTATCCATATCCGGTCTCTTGGTAATTGCAGAGTATTTTCTTTATGGGGAATGCTAGCACTGTTTTCCTTTTTTAATATATTTTACCCACTTGCATGATCATCTTTTCACTTTGGTAGGTGAAACCATTCTTTATGAAATTGTGAATGTCAACAGCATTTTTTAAAGCTGCTTATTTCTGTCCTGTGCATCTTTTGTCTTATAGTTACAACAAAGTTCAAGTGTGCTCAGGAGTTAAAGCTCAATCTCTAACTAAGTGTGAGCCCTTGTGGTTCCAGGTTTGGAAACTCCTTTCCACCCAAGTCTCTCTCAATCTGTAACAGAACATCTAAAATTACTAATCCAGATATTGTTGAACTGACTTTCAGTGGTAGGATGTGCTGTGCTGATAGAACCAAACATGTGAAAGACAAGGCTCTGGCAGCTGTTTTAGCCTGCTCACATCACTGTCCATCTTTCTGCTAGAAATATTTTAATTTTTGAAAACTCCTCCCTGTGCCCTGCTCTGTTTTTCGGGTAGACCCTTCACCTCCTGGTGTCCCTAAGGATGTCAGCTGAGACAGCTTCATCACTGGTCCTGGTTCCTTCATCAGTGCTGTAATTTTCTGGGATTCACCTCCATAAAGAGATCTAAGGATCCATCATTACAAAATCTGCATAAGCTTACAGGGGCCAGAGCAGCTAATAAAGATCACTGGGAAATGACTAATGCATATGCGCTGCCACTGTACCTACCACTGTCTTTGCTGGTCTCTGGAGAGGTGCTGGGAGAGCACAACAGCCACTGGTGGAGAAAAACAAGAGAAGAGAAAGGATTCATCTGCCAGGAAGAGATGCAGTCATGACTCTGGCTTGGTGTGATAAACAGCATGTGCTGTTCAGAGATCTGGCTGTGCACAGGCCATATTCCCTTGATCTCTCTCCAACTTGGAGATCCTTCTGCTGTGGTTGATGTGAACAAATCTCATGCTTTGTATCACCTCCTTTGCAAATGAGGTTAGGAAATGGGAACATTTCAGGGTTGGAAAGAGTGATCTGGGATTTTTCAGATACCAGAAGTTCCCAATCTTTTTTGTATAGATATCAATGTAGAAGTGGTAACAAGGAAGTTGGAGAAATGGTGGGATTTTGAGTTTGGACTGGGGAGGTTGCTGTGAGGTGGGCGCTTCTGAAATGGCAGAGACTTGGGATCACAGTCTGGAGAAGATGGATGCCTTGGCTTGAAGTGCATTGCCACAGTCTGGAGCAGGAAATCATACTGGGTTTGTGATGTGGAACAGAAGAGAAAATCTGCCTCACAAGGGATTGAAGGAATTTATTTTAGGGACTTGAAGGATTGAAGTAACTCATTTCACATGACTTTTCCTCCTCTATCCCATGCTCATGACTGCATGCAACAGTCATTTTTGCTGATGGAAATGCAGTCGCTGTATTTTCTGTCCCACTGTCATCTCCTTGTCTCTTTCCTTGTCCATACAGTATCGTATACCCTATGGCATCATATAATTAAAATAGATGATTATGCAGATGTAAGTGGATCCCTAAGGAAACTTAGCACATGGACATAACACCATAGGCAACTTTTAACTGATTATGCAGCTATAAAGAAGTTTCTTCTTTTTAAAATTAAAAACACCTTAACTTTTTTTCCTTCTTTTTAAATGCTAACAGCTTAACATTTTCCTCCCCAGATAAGCTATGAAATGGAAGAGAGAGAGCAGAATACCTTATGGAAGTGAAGGCTGTAGGTTTATGGGTTTAGAAATCTCTGAAAAGCACAAAAATATTTCCTCCCATTTGGAACACCCCTCCCCCTGCACACAGAGTGCAGCCCCTGCATGCATTTGGTTTCCAGATCTGTGATTCCCACCCTCCATTTTATAAGCTGTGAATATTTTCCCTTTCAAAGCACAGATTTTACCCCCTCCCATGCCCCCAGGGAAGCCTTTGTCCTGTGAGTGCCCTAGGTTTTTAAAGAATGTGGAAACTCCTTGGTTTATTCTGTTTCTGTGCTGCTACCTCCAGTTCCTGATTCCTGTTCCTCTGTGGCCTCTGCTAACGCAGTCTGTCCCGAATGGGGCTTTTCTCTGCAGTTCCAGTGAGATGTGGCTGTGTTCACAGGGACTGCAGCCTTCTAGCCAGCATTCTTTTCTTGTTATTTAGTAGAGAAGAGGTATCACTTTTCCCCACTCTCCATCATCAGCCTGATTTTATTACAATCACATAATGCCAACACTGTTCATGTTTCCTCACCCCAAGACTTGGTGGATCCATTTAAACACCATGTTAATCCCTCTCTAGTCTCAGTAGCACCTTTATGATGGTATTGCCTTTCCAAACTACAGTTGGTCTTGCAAGCCTTCACACCAGCTAATCCAACCTCATTTGGCTCCTTTCCCAAAGGTGTACAGTTCTAAGGGGAACACTCAGCAAGGAGATTTTTACTCAGTATCAGTGGATCCAGAATTTCTTTTCTTACCTACAGGGCTGCTCACTCCTCTCCATTACTAGCAGCAATGAGGGATAGATACTGCTTACAGAATATAATTATTTTAAAAGGAAATGAGACAGAAAATAAGGAATCTAAAAGATGTCTGCATTTTGTACCTGTAGGTACAAGTCAGGTAGAGGTGCCCTAATATTTGTGCTGCTGAACAAGGAATAGCCTGTTATATAATAAGCAGTACATACTCTTCTCTAGGAGCAATCTTGCAGTGAAGCAGGAGAAACCACCTCCCTGGGTGAAGGGACCAAGGATTAGCTCGTGCTTGAAGCAGAGACTGTATAGACAGCATATCCAACAATATTCCTCAGAGCAGCTTGAAGAACTCTGGCAGATCACAGCAGAACTCTTCTACTTTATTATGTGCTGAAAAGTAACTGGTTTTTACACATTAGACACTAATCAAGGTCACCCTTCCATTGCTGAATAATCTGCATTCACTGTGCTGTTGGCAGGAAGGGTTGCTCTGCTCCTGTGTGTTCAGAAAAAAACCCAAAATAAAATAAAAGGAGAAGAAATACTTTGGCCAACCATCTGTTGGAACAGAGGCCATGGACACAATGCAGATACAAACACCTGGATGCATTTTGCAGGTGTGCCCTGTGACCCATCTTTCTGTGGAAAAATTCACTGGGAAAATAGATTGCACTAGACTGTTCCTGCAACTGCAGTTAATCGTGCCTTTTCTGTATTACTGCTACAGGATTAACACAAACATTGCTTCTATTTTCAGGCTTATCAAAGGCAGCAGCACATCTCTCTAATCTCCTATTTCCCTGCTCTCTTTAAAGTGTTTAAATGAATGGAGCACTGATGAGCAGGGATGTGGTGCCAGCAGGGATGGTGTCATTTAATGCCTCGCTATTTATGCTATTTAATGCCTGCGTGGCTTTATGTGCCCTGGGTGACTTGCAAACCATCTGGCACTCTCCACCCTTTCGCAGGACAGACGGAGGTGCAGACAGCACCTTCACTTGTCTCTGGTTCAGAGAGTGACCAGCAGCAGTAAAACAGCACAGTCCTGATGTGCCTGCTCCTACAACCTGCACCTGCAGTCACTGAAGGATGAAGCTTGGAGGCCATGGATTGGTGACCCCTGATGCCAGGCAGCCTGGATCTCAGTGAGCTGTGGGCACTTACCTACATTCCTGTTGGACTGGTTGGCACACGCAACCTGGATTTTTCTTACAGCTGTAAAAAGCATAATGATATCTGATCTGCCCCAGCACCTGTTTGTGCACGGTTAACTTGTCAAAAGGTTTCAGACAAGCTGGAATCAGCAGAATTGCGTGTGTCATATCAGCTCCTTGTCCTAAGAGTCCTACAGCTGGATTTGCAGTATCACTGAATCACAGCCTGAATTTTTAGCCGTATTACTTACACGAATCACAAATACTTGGGTTGTGTCCTCCAATCTGCTAGGAAGCGGGCTGAGATCCACCCTGCAGCTTTCACACCACTGTCAGCTGGCATTAACTTCCAGTCATTTTTTCCTTTGAGGCCAGATTGAAATCAGTGACCTAGAAGTAAAATACTCTGTATTTTGTTAGCAAGCAATCCCTGGAGTTTTGCAGTCTAAATTGGGATGTTTTCTCCGTGAGCTCTTTTGTATATCTTCTATGGCAATTGTGCTGTAATTACCACAATCCTCTTCTGATAGCAGAATTTATTAATTGCTTTCCACTTTCTCCAATGCATTTCTGCTCAGATCATGGTGAAATAAAAACTTTCTTTACTGTGTGGAAGGGTATATTATATCCTACTGTAACACATTAGTTTTCTATGGTGAAATAATCAGAGATTATATTATGGATTCACTGATATTCCTGCAAGAAGAGCAAACTGGAAACTGTGTTGGACACTTACTGCACTGCCTGTTAGCAGTACAGCTGTGGGATCTGACCCTGAAAATGCTCATGTCTGGGAGAATATTTGCATAAGTAAGGACTAGTCATGTGTAGAAAAATTTTCACAATCAGCCTTCATGTTTATGGGATGGATCACTTGTGGGCAGTGCCGAGAGTCTGCTGGGAAGTGCTGGCTGCCCTTGGCAGTGCCATTTCTGTGGGTTCATTTTATTCAGCATTTTAAGGAAGTGCCCAGCTCACATTGTAACTTTACTGCAGTCTGTTCATATGAATAAGTTATGTCTCCACTTTTTCTGGTGTTCAGAGTCTGTGTTCAGATTCAAGGTCAGATCCACTTGGTCACTCTGTGGCAGTGTATAATGTATAATGGATTGCCAGCATCCCAGAACATACAAAATTGGAGATTAGAAGCGGCTCCACCTTATTATCATGATAGTCAATTGCAAGTGGTAGTGCAGTGGATAAAGGGCAAGGTAATGTAACATGTGAGTGGAAGAGCTCTCAATCTGTGTATTATAAAATTGTCATTCTATGCCACTGTTCAGCATAAATGGACTAATCTTCAGTTTGAAAATGAGGAGAGCTTGACTGTTAAAGAATAGGTCATTTGGCTTCTGGCAGCAGCAGATGATGCTGTAATATTAGCTGTAAGAACTTGTGCATTCTTGGTAAGGAGATAAAAATGATTAAATTGCACTGCTTGCTTCTCTATCTTTTAAAGTAATTCATATTTGGACCCGGATTCAGCTAAGCATTTGCATAATTCCTCAGGCCATTCCTATTCAGCCATGCATTTCAGTTTGTGCTTAAGCTCAAGCAAGTACTGAAGTTCTTTTCAGGTCCTGGGGCTTCAGCCTTGCAGAACAAAGTCTGGGTCGTTACTTTATGTTTCAGTAGCTTCTGAGGTTACTGTGCTACAGCAAATGGAAATTTGCTTTGTATGTAGAAAATGGAAGTTTGTAGTTGTTGTACTATGGGCTGAATACTCTTTAATGACTCAAAAAGGTCAAGGGTGAAGATGTTGGGGCCCTGGGGAGGATAATTTTTAATAGAGTCCTCTGTTGGAAATCCAAGAGCCGGAACAGGGGTCATGTCTCTGAAGAGTTTCACGGACTCTGCAAAACTGGCAGTCACACTGACTGCCTCCCTTCTGCTGGGCTCTTCCTGAAAAGGAATGAGCAGAGCCAAGGGGAAGCTTTTGTTGGGCTCTTCGGGACATGGAGCTCTTCAGGCTGAATTCTGTTCCAAATTATGCTCTGTTTTCCAGAGTAACTTCTCAACTTTGGTGGGGTTGTGCCAGGTGGTAGCCATTTGTGAAGTGAACTGTAGTTTTAACATACCTTTCAAAAACTGCAGTATTAGTGTTACAAACTTTGGACAGAGGGTTGGAGAAGAACCTTGATACACTAATTTTTTTTTCTTTTCTGGGGCTGTAAAGTTCAAAATATTTTGCATGGCATTATCAAACTCTTGTGTGTCAGTTCAGTTTAGCAAAAGAACATGTCAGCCACCAGAGTTCCGCTGCTTCATGAAGATATGTCTGGGAACTGGAAATTTTTTAATTGGGATTGACCCCAATCTAAAATGAAATGTTTGGTAATGGCTTTTTATAGAAATTACAATGAAACAATTAACTTTTTTTTTTCCTTTGGAAAAAATAATTTTTAAACATTTGGTAGGAAACCCTTTACAGAACAGATTTATGGCCTGAAGTCTTGTTCACAGTGAAACTGGTGGGAATTTTGCTGCTGACTTTCATGTAGCCATTTTACTGAGGTTTTCTTTACAGCAGGAGGGATTGTGTGACTATCTGGAGGTATTAATGTAACTTCAAAGCTTCTTGGCCCACTTCAGAAATAAAAAAATATTCTTCTATATCCCATTGACTTCTTGGAGGTTGCTTCATTGAAAGTAACATGATTTTTGTCTCTGTCCCAGAGAACCACAAGGAACTCAATCTCTATGTGTGAAAATGGAGACCAGCAACATGTTCTTCTAATACAAAAGCAGCAGAGGAAAGGGCAAATGTGCAGGTTAGTGCTCTGCTTTGCTGTGTTGTTTTCACATCATTGCTTTAAAATGTTTGTTCTGTGGAGGAGAATCACTGCAGGTTCCAGATGTAGGTGTTTACAGGGGATTCTGTTTCAGTGCAGTGCTGTGCATGATTCTATCTCTGTTTGCCTGTTCCCAGTGTATGAGATGATTCACCTGCTCCTGGATTTTTCTTTCTGTATAGCAGATTTTATTAACCCCCAGAAAGCTCTATCTGGAAGCTGTTTTTCCACCCGAAATTGAGGTCTTAATATTAACAATCTTTTATGAGCATGGAGCAGTTCATGCCATTGCTGAGTCCTTTGTTCTTTACATGGGACAAAGTGTCAACAACAGCGAGAGAAGGAAGAGAAAGGACTGCAAGAATCAGAGGAGGGGGAAAAGGAGAACTCTGTGATCCCTTTTCATGAGATACATGCATCTGGAAATTTGCTAAAATATGCTTGTAATGTTTTTCATAAAAAAAAAATTAAATGAAAGTACAGTTAGTCCTGGACTTAACCTACCCATTTTTCCTTGGATTTAGGGCTAGTTCAGGGCAATCTTCCAGTTTTGCACTTCAAGCCCATCTCTACCTGCTTTAATGGCAGGTTGCACCACACTGAGGACAGCTCTGTCTACCTCTGTGTGGGAGATACAAAAAGAGCAGGACCTTCAAGGAAGAAGTGATTCCTAGGAGGGGCCTGAGAGCCAAGTTTCAAAAGCATCATGTTCCCAAAGAAAGGCCAAATTTTTCAGAAGGGCTGAACAACAAGCACTCCTGCTGTGACAGATGGCTGAGTATTTCAAAAGATCTTGCTATTAAAGCTGGCTGGAAATTCTCTATTCTCTTGTTTTTGACAGGAACTTGGGTTTTCTGTTAAATACAATAATAGTGCAGAATGGACAGATTTTCCTTCCAGCATTCTATTTTTATGTGAGTTTTAATTATTTTGGTCAGGGAAACTCTCACTCCTGTAATACACTGATTTACACTCACTGTGCTGGAGAGCCATGTGACAGACACTTCCCAAAGTCTGATCCTGGGTTCTGACCCACCAAGCTGTTCCAAACTCTGGCTGAACACAAGGGTGCTGTGTGTGATGTGGTGGGCAGAGCACTGGAGTGTGCTGCTCCCAGACAGGTTTTCTTGGGTTTTCTTTTAGGCTTCCTAGAGAAGGTTGAGTTTTGGGATACTTGATTTGGGATCCTGAACACGAGATCTCCAGTGGGTGAATGTCTTCACTTGTGGCTGGTCACAGGTAGGACTGGGAGTGAAAGGCAGGCTGTGTTTGTAAGTAGCTGAAGATGCAGAAGGTAGGATCTTGGAACTTGAGGCTGTTTCTCAAAATGTGTGCTTTAACATTCCAATGATTTAACTTTCCCATCCACAAATAGGAAGTAAATCTTCATCATCAGTGAAGAACTTAAAAAGTTCAGTGTTTATACATGCTACTTCAGAGAAGCAGAAATACAAAAAAATCCTTTTTGTTCATCTGAATGTCTCAAAGCTCTTTTAAACTGTTAATTAATTGAGCAGTCATAATGATGTGCCAATGGGGATGAAGGGGGAGGAATAATTTACAGGTGGGAGAAATGAGGCATGAATGACTTCCTAGCCTTACCTGTGCCATGCTGTTAGTCTGTGTCAGATCCAGACAGATACCTTCTGTCCTGTCTCCTTTTGCATCTGTGATGGGTGGCTGGGAGCATCAGTTTTCTCCTCCTTCCTGCTTCCTCCTCTTCTTCTGTAGAGAACCCATCTCCTTATCCTCAGGCTGCTGTTTCATGGAAGTCCATGTGGCTCTGTCTCTGAGGGAGCAGGCCTGGAAGCTGGAACATGTTTCAACTCCCACTGGACATGACACAGCCAGAGAGTCAACTCCACTGCATGGGAGAAAGGAAATGAAACCTCAGGTTGCTCTTAGAACAATGGCACATTCTGCCCTGCCTTCCTCCTTCTGACTTTATGCACAGCTGAATTATGGTGTGCTGTCCTCTGCACACCTTCCACAACAACTCAGTTTATACCTTTGCTGCACTGAGCAGAGTACCTCAGGAATATCTGACCTGGCTCTGAAATACCAGCTCACCTCTAAGAAACAACAGAGCCCTCGTTGTCATTGCCTCTTTCTTGTCTGAACTCCTGTATCCGAGGTCAGTACACTTTTGTACAGAAAACGTTGAATCTTCTGGCATATATAGAATAAATGAGCACAAGGTAAATTCAATTTGTTTAAAACTTACAGAATGGGCAGGATAAAACTACTGCTTAGGAAAATAACTGGTGCAGAATTTCATCTGGAATTTGGCTGAGAATTCTGTTTAAACTTAGATAAACACAGCTATGAAACTCATGAAGATGTCACATCAGTAGCTCACCCAACAACTTTGAGAGCCTCCTGGGAAGGTAATCCCAGCACCAACAGTAATCAGTAATTCCAACAGGCTGCTTTCCTCTAGCTACTCCTTATTGAGCTCCTGAAACTTCAGGCATGAAGTTTTTCTTCTACCCAACATGGTTCCAACTGCTTCTCCCTATCAGTTATTCATATCTGAAAGGGAAAGGAAAAATATTGACTTAAATTGCTGGACCCTGGAACACAAGTTTTTTTATTTAACTGACAGGGCTTATGGTTACCTTCAGACGTAGCTTTTAAAGTAGTTTTTAGCTGGATGACAGAGATAAGCCCTCCAGGAAAAAGCAGCAGTAAAGTGGTGGGTCATTATAAATATTTTGTTCTCTCTGTAGTCATGTTTTCCATTCTTTCTCGGTTTATGTATCTTGTAAAAATTTTCCAGTAAATCTACTACCTTCTATGTGGTGAATTTAAGCCTATTGATTTGTAGCTGTTCTAATTGCATTTTACAGAGCCCCTGCTGCCTCTGGGACCAGAGCTTGAAAAGTCCTGTTTAGTGAAATGGATTGTCTACCACAGGTCATTGACACCCTATATTCTGACTTACCTAAATTAGGCAGTCTCCAGTATTCTCTGATCTAATCCCAAAAGTAGTGGGTATGTGTTATGTGCAGATATAATGCTTACACATAAATTTCTATTGAGCAGTCGTTGGAAAAGGAGCTGAAAGCAGGTAGAGCTTGCCCTCCCAGCTCAGTGCAAGCACGGGGATGCAGCGCCTGCTAACAGCTGGCTTTTCTGCAGCTCGGCAGGTGATGGAGTTCCCACCACTTCAGGAGCCCACTGCCAATGGTTAGCACATGCTGTTGTGAGGAATCTCATCAGTCAAAAACGTCTCATAAATAATTTAGAGGAAAGCAATTAGCAGACACAGCTGTAGCTGTTTGCAAAGTCACAGTTATACCTGCCAGGGCAATCTGGAAATGGAAATTTCAAAACCATTTCTTGAAGTGGCCAGAACGGTCTAGCTTGGAGCTAAGGCTGATGGGTAGTTGTTGACGAGTAAGGAGCAAATTGCACTTTCATGTCTTTTTATGTGTAATGAAATCCAGGAGAGAAATTTAGTATTTTGTGCATATTGGGAAAAGGATCAAAGGGATACATAGTTTTAAAAACTCCAGCAGTCAAGGTCTTATCCTTTCAGAGGCTCTGCAACTCATTCAGCTTCAGAGCAGAGGGGACAGATTTTAACAGAGACTTGGACATGCATTTTGAATGCATCAGCTCATTAGAGTTTGTCTATATGTACAGACTGCTCAGAGAGGACAGGCAGGAGGAAAAGGAAGATACTGGTTGAAGTATCTCATCTGAGTATGCTTGCCTTGACAGATCGATGAGACCAAATTGTTTGAGGATTTCTTGGTAATGATAAAAGGGAAGGGAATCTGTTCTTTAAGAATCTCAAGCAACTACAGGGAAAGTGTGAAAACAGATTTGTTTGTGCAGGTGAGTCCTGAGAAGGGTATCAAACATTAAATCTAGAGATGAACACGAAGCTGTGTAAGTAGAGCACGTGTAAATATATTCTAGGAGAGGGTTAGAAGTCACCTACCATGATACTATATTGGGACAAGGGGATGAACAATATAAGATCCTCTCAGCATTTCTGATAGCTGTGCATTCAGTCATGGTATCTCTCCTAACTGAATGCCTAAAACATGTTCATCTTCACAGGAACCTCCCTTGGCTAGGGAATTATTATTCCTGTGTTACCTACTGGAAAGTAAATCACAGTATGTTACCACATGAGGCAATCCCAGTCCTAAACTCTGAGATTCTTCTTTCTAAGAGGGAACACTGTATTGTGAAAAATGCATTCAAATGTGAGCTGGTCATAGTATGAATGCTACAAAGCATTTCAACTATGCTTAAAGACCATCTCAATTAGAAAAGACTGGAGTTAGAATTTATAGCAGTGGCATTATTTTATTCTGCATGTCTCCTATAGAAAACCACGTCCCAGTTCCCACTGCTGTCTGCACCATTTGACCTGTTCTTCTAAATCCAACTGCCATCACCTGGCCAAGAAAGCAGCGGAGAAGCCCAAGAACCTGCCTGCCACTTTCGGGTGGTCAAGGCCTCCATCCAAGGAAAATTCCATGGGTGAGCCTTAGAGAGTAACCGAAAGCAGCAGCTGCTCATTGACTGTGAGCTGGATGAAAATCCCTGCAGTCAGTCAACAGGCTGCCCCAGCTGGTCTGGCCTCACAAAGACAAGACCTCCTGTAAGTGATATTAATTGGAGACTATCTAGAAATCTCTTACAATAGATTTTGTTTGACTGCAATGAGAACTTTAACACATTATTGAATACATTATGGCAGCACACCTTCCCAGACTGCATAATGATTAGCTGTTAATGTGTTTTGGTAAAAGGCTCAAATATTTCATTTGCTTATTTCTTTCATTTTTTTTTGTACTTACAAGCTCTTAGTAGAAGTGGGGAATGTGAAGAATGTCCTTCAGAACTGCAGATGAATAATTGCTCAACAGCCACAATTTCAGTAACTTTGAAAATCTTCCTTGAACAGAAATTCATCCTGGGGTGAATCACTGGTCACTGGGGTGAATCTGGAGTATTTTGTGGTTTTTCTTCTTGTGAGTTAATCCAACTTTATTCCAATTTAACATGTTAGCTAGATGGGATCATTGTGTGGCTCATCTTAAGCCAGCTTAACACATTTTATAAGATTCTACAAATAAGTGTTCAAGAAATATAAGTTAAAACAATTATCTAACAGGCTTTAAATGAACATCTTTCCCACTTATCCAGAGAAAAGTGAATGTGGAATTTGGATCACTATCCATAAAAGCCTGTAGGAATATTTACAGGTATACTTCTTGAAACAAGTGGAGCTCTTGATGTTTATAACATTATTGCAGGTATATGTTAACAGCACTGCAATGCAGAAATATGAGAAACTACTAAAGATGTCAACTAGGTCAACTAAGGATGAGTCAGGATTTTGTTCAAAACAATAGGCATAATGTTTTCATAATTCAAGAACTGTACAGCAGAGATGACTTCTGTTTTTAAAAAGGGGATTATCTGACTGCAGGGTTTGTCTGGGCTTTGCCAATGACTGTACATGAGGGTAAACATCTGCCTTAGATGGTATCTTCTGGGTCTGGAGGTTACCACCTTAAGTGTCCTATCACATCCCTCTTCTCAGAGCTCTGGAGTCTGGATTGGGATGTCTCTCCATTGTCTTTGATGATAAGTTAGGGAAGAAAGGAAGAAACTGTTTTTTGCTAAAGGTAGATTCATCTCCCTCACGTTTAATTTGTAGGAGCTGTCTGGGTGTGACCATAATGAATGGAGAAGGAATGGTTTCTTCACCTGAAGATTCATCATCTAATCTAGCTTTGATGACTTGCCACTGGAGGAGGATATACTTTGCTGTATCATCTTGTATTTATAAAATGATAGGTCCTGTGTTGGGGTGGCCCCTAGCTTGGGTTGGGACATTCTCCTTTCACTTCTAACTTCAACTCAGAAAATGGGCACAAGTCTGGATAATAAACTTGTCATCACAAACATTTCCTCTAAGCAGCAAATATATTTCCTAGACTTTCTCTTTTTTCTTTTCTCTTTTCTTTTCTTTTCATAGAGATGAATAATCTATTTTATTTGTCAGTTCTAATTTGAAAAGCAAAGTTCATTCTGTGTCAAAAGCCTTAGGTATGGCAGCCCAGCTCCAGATGATCTTGCATAAATGTCTTCATAGGACACTGGGAAAGGCTGACATCCTTGCCTACATCATTTCAAACTCCCTATTTGACTTTACTTTCTCCTAGTGGATTCTCCCAGGATAAAAAAATGGATGAACACAGTTGCCTTTCAATGGTCTGAAAACATGTAGGAAGGCCCCTCCAGCACTCTCATTTGTCTCTGAAGATGGTCTCGGCTTCTCCAGCCTCTCCCGAGAACAAAGATTTTCACCAACTGAAACATCCTCATTTCTGTCCTACAGTGCATGTTCTGTATCCTTCTCCATGTACAGTTCTGGTGCTGCAATAACTGTAGTTATATCCTGCTTTAGAAGGTGTTTAGTAATTACAATAATAGTATCATTTGGGGAATCTAATCTCTGCTGGTTTATAGCTCTTTTTCTTTCAAGTTGCAAGAATTGCAACAACAGCTTGGTCCTTCTTCTAATTTATTCCTTACTCCATTTCACTCTTGTTTCTGATGAAACAACCCCTCACAATCTGATATCACTGAAAGCCAGCACAGTGTCAAAAGCAAGTCCCACGTCTGGCTGCCAAGCAAAAGACAAAATGTACCAGTAGGATGCTGTGCAGCAGCAGTACTTCCAGGAGGCAGCCTTCTTCCAGATCTTGTCCCTGGTGTGTCACTGCTACAGAGAACACAACCAATATGTTTTAATGAAGAATATTGGCAGCTGACTGGAAAAGAAAAAACTGTGTTTATTCTTCCTGTAACACCATTTGGACTACTGCCATTTATACATGCTCAGGGGATATTCCCAACTATGCTTCCAGCCTTGACCATTTCAGCCCCCGACTCTGGTGATCCCTATCCAACACCAGAGAAAAACTGTTGGGTATTGCTTTTTTTTGTTGTTGTTGGTTGGTTTTGTTTTTGTTTTCTCCATGTGCATAAATTAAATCATTCCATTTCCAGTGAGCCTCATGGATAGTTGTAGTGGCATAACAGGAGACAGTGAAAGGGAACAGAGATGCAGGAGTGAAAAAGAGTGACAGGAAGCAAGAAATTCCTCCACTGGCTTTGTTGCTTAAATAAACATGTGGAATTGTACCTAGAACTAGCTTTATATTACCTGCTGAGCAGCTGGTGAACTACAGAGCACAGCAGTGGTTACCTGCATATTTTCTGGGTTTCAGAAGTGGACTCTGCAGCCTGTGTTGGTACCATGACAACACTGCCTGTGGTACCTGGAATAGCTCATTTAAACATAGCCTGTACATGGTCTCCATGAGCTTTGGTCTGTGCAGACATACAGCAAGACATAATTATGGATTTTTCAAATCCAAAGCTAAACATTATGTTAGGGCTGCCTTTCTTTCACTTCCACAGTCCCTTCTGCAGTTATATCTCAGGCCTGTTGACTTCAATCTGTTTGTTTTCAAAACATACCTGCAGGGCAGGCAAGCAGCCCTATCTGTGTCCTGTCGAGTGAGATCTGAGAACACACTCAAAAGCAGCAAGAATCACTTGGGACAAGTGATTTACTACTCCAGCTGTGTGAGGGCAGCCGTCAGTGCCACAGGAGAGCTGATGGGCTGTGTGGCTCTTCATTCCTCAGCATAAT